CATGTTTTGGGTGTACTATTCCTTTAATGCGAATGGTGCTTAAATAAATTTGCTTGACAGACCTTTCACAGGCCATCTTACACAATTCTACACAATTCTTTTGTAAAAGCAATAAAAGGAAGTTAGAGAACAGAACATTCAGGTGAGTTTTATGTAAATCCATTGACTTTACCTCTTGTTGAAGACTCAGGAACTTCTGCATTGTAGACTGTTTTTTTAAAAACGGGATTGTTGTCGTTCTGGTCAATGACCACGATTGTAACATCAATTGGATCCTCTGCTTTTGCCGAACCATCTAACTCGGCAAGTGCTTTCAACTGTCCAAAAAAGGCAGATGTTTATCACTGATCAACAAGAGAAGAGCAACTCGTAATTTAATCAAATCTATGATTGATAAATAAACAATGGTAAAATTTCCCCAGCCTGGGAATGTGGAACACAATGTTAAATCCTTAAACACTCATTCATAAAGAAGAATTGTTAGAAGTCTAACATTCATTGGTTCAAGTTTTCATTAATGACTGCAAATATGTTTTAGCTGTGTGTTTTTTTTAACGAAGGTAAACAAACTTGACAAGATTTCCTGCAGGGGGCAGCAAAGCTCCGACTGAGATTAACCCTAAGTCTCTTTTAGTCAGAGATGCTGGTTTTAAGTCTTCCAGGCAATAGACATTCAAAAAAAGGTTAAAAAAAAACAAATTTGTTTCTAAATTTGGAGACATTTTGCTTCCAATCCAGGAAGCTTTTTCAATTCAAAATGTTCGAAGTAGCGTTGAGTTCGAGGCTTTATACAGTAGCCCAACAAAGACTTGTTTTTGCTTAGAAAACCTGCAAACTGAACCCCATTCCTCCGTTTTAAGTTGCATGCTGTCTAAGCAAAAACAAGTCTCAGTCCATCTCAGTCCAGAGTGCAAAATTTTCCACTTGACGAGCTCAGCATAGAGCATTTTAAAAGATGGAAAAGATTTTTATCTTCAATGCAAAATGTTTACATGTTTTTTTTTCATGATTGTGATATAATTATAGAGAGCTGTTCTGTCAGTTAAAGGCATGTTTTACAGTCTCTATACTCCAGTTAGCGTTTAATCGTTGACAATTATTTAAATATTTGGTTAACTGCGATAATTCGCGATTAATCCGATTAATTGGCTCAGCCCTAATTTAGAGTGTCAGACTCAATTGATGAGAGATTTTATGGAGTTCCGTACTTATTGAACATGCGAAACGGTCTCTTCATGTTATTCCTAAATAAACATTCAAATAAAGAAAATAACTGAGGAGTAAAATAAGTTCATTGAATTGAAAAGTTGATTTATTTATCAATATAAGTTTGATTAAAATAAATGCAAATAATTGTGATTTAGCTAATAACACACCCTGTGATGAACTCTAAATAATCCCACTCCGCCACTTTTCACACATTCATTGAGAAAATACTTCAACAAATACGTTCAGTAGCCTGAAAATTTTCTAAACCAATTAAAAATGATATAAATAATCAAACCAATTAAAACCCAGTTTATAATAAATCAGCCAAATAGAGGTAAAAATATATTTATTTAACATAGTTGAGATGAAAAATGTATTACATTTTTTAGACCCAAAACCTACAAGAACATAGAAGGACCGCAATAACTCAAGCATGTAGAGATAAAGGCTTGGATGAATATTGTTGTTTATCTAAAAATGTATGTGCAAGAGCCAGGTCAGATAGAGTTCAGTCTTCATCACATCTAAAACAAGAATTACGGCTATTAGCTGGCAAAAATGACTCTCTGTGGCTTATGGTAAACAAAGTCTCAAAAACTGAAGCAGGATTTAACGAAAATTTCTTGTTTTAGTTCTCAGATGCTACAAACAAATCATTTTGGTAGAAAGTAGAACAAACTAACAGCGATAGAGCTTACCGTGTAACTGCTTTGTTTCTCTCTGTCCAGAGGTTGTGTAACGTAAAGATGACCTGTTTCCTCATCCATCGTGAAGAGTTTAACGGGATCCTGGTCAGCCCCTGGACCGGTGATTTTGTAGCGGATCCGTTTGTTTTCATGGTCATCAGACTTTACCTGAACAAAACAGACCAAGGCTTGGTCATCTACTAAAAAAGTAAGTTTTCCTAAGTGTTTAACCTGTTCAACCTGCAAAATCACCAAAAACAAATTCTGAACTACGTAAAAAAAAAAAACATCAATTAAACATTCTCTTGTTCTTTTACCATTGTGTGTTGCAAGGATTTATAAGGCAGGACTATAAAACCGTTGCAATGATTGACAGATGAGTCTTGATGGCTCTATGATGCTGCCTTCATACCAAAAGTGTTTTCGGTTTTAAAAAACTTGTAAACGCAGAAATCTGGTGCTCTGCACTGCAAACAATTAATTCTAAATAAGTCCTTTTCTCTTAAAATAAGTCATTTTTTTTCTTACAATAACTGCATTTGGTCTTGAATTGAGGAAGTAAGTGAGTTACTTTGCCAATGAAACAAGACAACCCCCTGTTGAAGACCTCCACTCTAAAAATTGTGGAGGACTGTTGGGTTTTACTTATTTAAAGTCAGACGCTCTTTGGAAGTTTAACTTTGATTTCTGCTTCCCATTTGGACTTTTTATATATAGTGAGTTATTTCCATTTCGTGTTTATGGGCTTTTAAACAGCTTAGAGACTATTCTTGTTGGTATTTTCGTGTATGCATCCAAAAATCAATCAATATATTTATTTCCTTCTGAAAACTATTCTTTCTCAATATCATTAGTAGGCTATAGAAGTATATTAGCTGTAGGCATCTGAAAAAAATCTGTTATTCAGATCGAATTCTCTTCTGGGTTCACCAAATGTTTTGCCCTCTACGAGAGTGCAGATAGCTGTTATCCCCATTCTCCTCCATTCTATAAATGTGCTATAAATTGGTTTGAATCTCGATGACTGGCAGGGCCACATTAAAAGGTTACTATCCCCTTCTGATTTGTATTTCTTAAGGACCTTAATGCCATATTTTGAGAATTTCCTCTAAAATACTTTTTTTTCCTCTTTGCTATACTTTTATTTCTCCTTTATTATTCACTAAGCCTGGCTATTGACTGTATTTGGGATATGTTTATATCTATTTGTTTCCATATGACTTCGTATTTAAATGAACACCAACTGTCTACGTACCTTAGTTGTGCCACATAATAATATTCTTTCAAGGAAAAGTTCAGTCGTATTCAGAATACAAACCACTGTAAGTACTTTAAATATGAAATTATTCCATCCTGTTCAATAAATGATAAGTGTTTTGAATTAAGAGTAATTTTCATATGAATGTGCTTTACTGGAGGCATCCATGTTTGTCAAAGAACACTACTGCCACCTACTGGTTTGTGACGTCACGGTGCGGTATCGGCTCTTGATCAAGTCCCAGTGCTGTATCTGGTGTTTGTCACAACGCGCTATTATCCAAGTCATCTTGAAAACATTCTTCTTCCAAATGTTGGCTACATATTACGTGTTTTTTCTCTGGCCAGAAGGTCGATGGCAAATCCTCCCTCTTCAAGTTGGCGATCCAACGACCAACCCGTCCGTGGAGGATCAGGAATCGTAAAGGTGAAAGAACTCTTTCTTTCCCCACTTTTACCCGATGTATTCCAACATCCAGCTGCCATGCACGTGGGCATTGTCAGTTTCACTATAGCTCTGGTGAATTTCAATGGTGAAGTCCTCTGGAAATCTTCAATAATTGTTGTTGATAGCAGATGTGTCTAGTAGTTCCCATTGATTTTGCTTGTAAAGCGGGGAGAATGGCGCTAGGCTTACCGCACCGTGACGTCACTAACAGAAGATGGCAGGAGGGAGGGGTTACTATATTTGGGTAAAAAGGGCAGCTTACGCGAAATATGTTGTTTTTATTTTTTTACTGATTAAAGCTCAATTCGTTAAATCACCTAGATTTAGGTATAAATAATGATCCATTAATGATTCATTGCTGTCTGGACTTTTTCTTTAAGGCTAGGGAGGACTAAGCCATCATTTCTTCTATCCAATTGGATAGAAGAAATGAATAGATGTGCAGGTATTTTACAGGTATTTTACCTGCACAGACAAATCTAGATACTTCTTTGTTCCATGTTTTAATCTGAGCCTCTGCAATATTTAACGGTAATGATAAAAACAGATATAGCAGCCTAGATAGAGCCAAAATCCACTACTAATTTTTGACCATTTCAAGAGATCTCTTTTTATCTTACTGTTAATTGTGGAATAATTAGTTTCCTGAATTTTGCACAGGTCTTGGATAAGTGTAACTCCCAAGTATTTAAGTAATTAATTTTATTATTTAAATGTGTATCTTTCCTTACTCGGTATGTAGTTTAGTGGTTTACCTGACTAATTTTTAAGGGAAATGGTCCACGCTGATTCTCAGTAACACTAATTGGAGGGAGGATCCATGCTCTCTTCCGCCTCTTCATTCCTTTGGGAGCCTTAGGAAAATGCAGGATGGGTACCTCCTCATCAGCGATGCCCTGAAAGAAAAACATTTTTATATAATTCCAACAACCACCATTTCATGTTCAAGTTCTGAGTACAGTAAAGAAAGTTTAGGTGCTGAACTTTGAACAGGAACTAATCAAATCTTAACCTGAAAGAAAATAAAGCATCTCTAAACTTTAAAACTGAGTGTTATTAGATGAATCTGTTACAGTGAGATGCTCTGGCTCTTTTTCCCTGTGGTGAATTTGTTGGTACAACACAATGACCGGAACAGTCATTTTCTGATCATACATGTTCAAGTACTAAAGGAGGAAGCGTCGGTAGCCCTCGTGGAGAACGACTTCTCTCTTCAGCTGGACGAAGACAACAACCACAGTCTGGTCATTGATCTCTGCAGTTCATGGGATGTTTGATGAAGAATATCGTTCAATCAGCCTGAGTTTGAAACCTTCCTGACAGAAATAACTAATACCTATTAAAACATTTTATTATAGTTTCCTATTCTAACAAACCTATTAGCCCCTCACTAAGGCAATCTTTCAGTATTGGTCGTGCTGCCTCACCGCTTGGGTTGCGTTATGATCAAATGCATTTTGTGTCAAGGTTGGTGGATGTTGCTGGGGACCCAACTGCAGTCTAGAAGAGGAAGGGATGATTGCTTTCCAAATTTAGAGAAGAGGTACAAATACAGAATCCATAATCCAAAACTCTTCGACAAGAAACTTAAGAGCCAAAAAACTAGAAGAAACTAGGGAGGAATAAATCTAAAGAATGACTAGGATCCAGCAATGAGTTAATGCACAGGAGGTGTATATATGGGAGACGGAAACAATGGGAGGACTATTAGCTAATAGGGAGCAGGTGTTGACAGAAGTAACTAGAAGGAGCTAAGGGGGAAGGAAAGGACACTAGGGGGCAGCAAAGACTAGCCATGGAGAAACAACAGGATTCAAAAGTAACTAAGAAATAACTTAAATAAGGCTAAAGGTGAATAAATGTGATGACTACAAAAAAAGTGATGAAAATTTCAAAGCCCCATGAACCAATGAACCAGTTTGAGACAATTGGGGAAAATGCTGAAAACATTTGAAACAGGTTAGAATGGCAGCATTTGCTGGATAGCTGTAAGAACTACAATTGAATGGGTATCCTAATGTACGCATTTTTTCACGGCTGAACTTGTTTCTTCCATAATAATAACATTGATAATGATTATATAAATAGATAATAAAAAAATATCTGACCTGTGAAATTGCAATATGATAAACAGCTGCTCTGACTCATACCAGCTATGTGACAGAGTTGTCCTGTTATTATGGTCCTAAATTCTAATCCATCCTGGCTTCCAGACTTTAATACATTCGTTAGGCAGACAGGTTAACATGCATTTCTCTCAACTGACAGATTTTAAGTCTGAAAACCTCTATTTCATATCCATTTCTGTTTTTGGTCATTTATGTTAATTAGGTCACTTCTCGGCCTGTTCGGCATTCCATCTGACCTCGCTGCACTTTTAACTATATAAACACATCAATAAATTATCCTTTAAATAGTATCAATAGTTTAAATGATTGAAACCAACTCTGCTGACCAGTAGTTCCCACAGGTTTTCCACGTTCCTTCTGTGATTTTGGCAGATTAGGATGATCGCATTAAAGAAGAAGCATCAATAGTTTATTACGGTAGATGTGCTGTGTGAATAAATATTTGTTATAAATTAACCAATGGATAACTGTGGTGGGTAGAGATGTGTGTGCCTCTGTCTATTTTAGATCTATCTGCATAAAGCAAACTATTCTGAATCAATTCTAAATTAGACTTAAAAAACATTTCTTTCCCTGTGTTTAAATAAGCCGAGAATGGGGAAAAAAACATGGTTTGAGCTCAAATGCGGCTGCATTATAGTAAATAAATAGCATTGAAACGCCCAGATGATTCAAATTTACTGTGAAGCTTGATACAAAATTTGACATAACGAAACCTCGCTTTTAGCAGTCATGTGACCGGGGTGCACTGGAAACATTTCTCAGCGACACTTCTGCTTCAAAAAGGTCAAAGCTCTGTCGAGCAGACTAATTCGAGCCTAACATCACTACTACAAAATAAGGAATAAGAGACCGGAGACAACTTCAGCAATGGAAAACCTAACCTAAAGATAATACAAAGAATAACTATAACTAAAACTAGACCAAGGAATAAACAATACTAAAAATTGTGAAGAGATAACCTGGAAGAGGAAAACTAGGAATACAAAATATTATCATTATTTTTGAAAAAAACACAAAACAAAAAAAATAGAGAACCCCAAAGAATTAAAACTTAAACAGAAACAAAAGATCCAAAAGGTAAAATCATAACTTTTATAGCATCAGGGGCATCTGGTTTCCAGTACAAGCCTTAGGTGGACGTACATCAAGGAGCATAGAGAGGTCATGTTTCAGCTGTCTGCCTCGGCACACTTTGAAGTTTGAGCCTATCCCTGGAGGGTATTCACAGTACTAACGCACACCTGTATACGGAGGTCTGCTGCTCAGAAAAAATTAGAGTACTTAAATATAGGATCATAATCCGAATGAACTGACTGCAATGAGGATGTTTTAAGGTTTAATTTCTTGATTAAAACCATATTAAAACTACCTTTTCCCCCCAAATCACTGCAAATAAAGCAAAGGCATTCTCTCTGTGTCATCTGCCATCCCACTCAGATAGCAAAACGCATGAAATAAGCCTGCATACACTTTCCTCTACTGACTTTATTATACACAAATGTCCAAGGTAAGGGTAAGGACAGGTTTTTTTTTTTTTTTTTAATTTTTGAATTGGTATCTTTATTTCGAACATGCAAGAGAGAGAAAAAAAAAACAAAGTTTAAAAACATTGGAGAGAGAAACAACAAACAAGGTACCTTTCTTTCCTTAGTTAATATACCTCTATTACATGTGCGAAAAGGAGTTGGAAGAAGTAAAACTTATGTACTTATGGCGCCGTCATCCAATCAGCAATGTCTCATGTTTCCCACTGGTACCTACCTTTTCCGGTAGGTTAATGTAATTGTGTTTTCCTTAATGTAGTTGCACTTTGCTTTATGTAGTTTTGCTTTTCTTAATGTAGTTGCGCTTTTAGATTTGTAGTTGCAGTTTGCACTTCAGGGCCACCGTAAGGAAGACACCCCGTGTATACACAGAGTGTATACAAAGCAACATTTCGACAATAAATGTTTTCCAAGACTAAATCTATGTAATAAACATTGTTACTTTTGACACCTCTGGGTTTTTTACTTACTGTTAATGTTCCATCTGACCGGACCACAAAGTGCTTATCATCAGACCAGAAAGGTGATCTTGTGCTGTTTTTGCTGTCAGTAAAGGCAACTGAAAAAAATAATAAAAAAGATGTTAAACGGGTATAATTATTAACTGCAAAATTACATAGTTATATTTTTAATTAAGATTTCATATTTCGGAGGTTGATCTTCTGACAACATGTCTTTAATGTATTTTGGAGTTCAGCCATTCAGTAATTTCTAGACTCAAAGAAGTATTTAAGTCTATTCTCTGAGATCCAGAAAAATTACTTTTAATGTAGAGCTATTGCAATAATCAGTTCTACTAAAGATAAACAAATATATTCATTTGTCAAGGTCCTGCTAAAACGTCAGTCCTTTAATCCTGAAGATGTTCTTTAAGGACTTCATTTACACACATTGCTAGCATGGTTCCTCGCCTCCTAGAGGCGATCTACGGTACTACTGCTCTCTAGGGGTAAACAAGCAAATCAACATGGTAGCGCTTGTAACATTCAGGAAGTTTGAGGAGAGTCATGCAAAGAGGGCAGCCTTTGGTGAATTTACTTAACAGAGTCGGCTTTTGGGAAGTGTATACAACAAACAATAGTCTAATCAGGGCTTAAAGACGCTGGAAACGACAGGGGTTCAGGTTCATCCCACTGCTACGCAGAATCATCATTGGAAAAAAACAATAAGTGCAGCCTGCTGGTTAAGATTTTCAGACCTCCAGGTCATAGTCATTCCAAAAAAGTTAAAAAAACAATCCACTGGACGTTGTTTCCAAGTTTGAAGACGTTTCATCCAGGAAGCTTTTTCAATTCAGTTCAAGGTTCTATACAGTAGCCCAACAAAGACTTGCTTTGGCTTAGAAAACATGCAAATTTAAACAGACGGGATATTATTATTGTTGTCTGGGCAACCGCGGCAACGTTCAGCCAATCATGTAGTTACTGGCATGAAGCAGGACCGGAGCAGATGTGGTATCTACAGAGGCAAAATATGTTTGTTTTAATATCCCGGTGCCTGCAGTTTGTACCAAAGACCTGAAAAATGCTAAAATCTACTTCCAGCTGCCACCAACAGTAGGGGAAAACCCCCAAGAGGCGACCGGGCCTGAAGCAGCTGCTGCTGGGGATTCCCAGTGACAGTGGTAATCTGAATGAGCTGCCTGCACAGACAATGTTTTCAGGACTTTCTCACTTAAAAATATACTAAAACTACTTTTTACCCACTGATCACAGCAAATCTAGCAAAGCCGCTCTCTGGCATTGAACACAGGAGCAGCAGAAGCAGCAGACGCATCTGGACACACTTTACTGGACGTCTGACCTTAATGTGGACAAACATCAGAAATGAAGCAGCAGAAGCTTTTCTGATGCTGAAATTGCATTTGGTGTGAACGGAGAATAATGTTTATCTGGGGATCTGCGGCTGAATTANTAAAGATAAACAAATATATTCATTTGTCAAGGTCCTGCTAAAACGTCAGTCCTTTAATCCTGAAGATGTTCTTTAAGGACTTCATTTACACACATCGCTAGCATGGTTCGTCACCTCCTAGAGGCGATCTACGGTACTACTGCTCTCTAGGGGTAAACAAGCAAATCAACATGGCAGCGCAGGTAACATTCAGGAAGTTTGAGGAGAGTCATGCAAAGAGGGCAGCCTTTGGTGAATTTACTTAACAGAGTCGGCTTTTGGGAAGTGCATACAACAAACGATAGTCTAATCAGGGCTTAAAGACGCTGGAAACGACAGGGGTTCAGGTTTATCCCACTGCTACGCAGAATCATCATTGGAAAAAAACAATAAGTGTAGCCTGCTGGTTAAGATTCTCAGACTTCCAGGTCATAGTCATTCCAAAAAAGTTAAAAAAGAATCCACTGGACGTTGTTTCCAAGTTTGAAGACATTTCGCTTCCCATCCAGGAAGCTTTTTCAATTCAAAATGTCAGAAATAGGGTTGAGTTCAAGGCTTTATACAGTAGCCCAACAAAGACTTGCTTTGGCTTAGAAACATGCAAATTAAAACAGACGAATGGGTCCACCCCTTTGGAATGGGCTTCTTTTTTAGCCTGCTATTTCTCATACCTGTCTGAAAGGGGGTCGTTAAAGGGAATAGTTGGCCTGGCTGAATAGGTGAGGTATTCTGCTGCTCTGTGAAGGGGTGGGGGTTGCGATAAGTAAGTATATAAGTGCAGCCCTATCTCTTTCAGTAACTTAACATTCATATCTGGACTCAACTTCTCTAAAAGACTTTAACTCATATATCGTAATGCTTTGACTACAAACTAGTAAATTTTTGACTGTTTTGGGAAAATTCAATTTCCTTTTATTCCCCTTATATTTATTAATTTATGAGTACTGATTTTGCATACTTACTTTAAGTGTTCACTAAACCCTTTTCACCTGAAAGGCCACACAGTGCCTGAGTGAGAGCACATAGGGTTTTAATATTTGTTTGGGACGGAAAAAAAATTGTTTCCATAAAAAGCCAGACTCTTTCTCAAGGTTTATTTACAACATTTTACTGTTTTCCTCAACTGTCTGTTTTGATTAACTGTATGAGCAGACCTTCACAGTCTTATCTGCAATTCAATTCAGTTTATTTATACGGCTCCAATTCACAACACACAACATCTCAGTTCACCAGATCATCAAGTCAAATTGATTCCAAGGAAAACCAGTTGATTGCATTGAATCATTGACTCAAAGTCAATCCCTCACACTGAGCATGCTTGTAGCGACAGTGGAGAGGAAAAACTCCCTTTTGACATTAAGAAACCTCCAGCAGAACCAGGCTCACTGTGAGCGGCCATCTGCTGAGGCTGACTGGGGTTCGAGGAGACAGAAGCAGAGCTACAGGCTTTAAGTTAGGAGAGAAACGGTCTTGTCAGAGTATCGAGTTGTTTGGTATAATCTGTCTTGTCTCTCCTCTTTGCAGAAATAAATTAAAGTGCAGACAGAAGGAATAAGCATCAATCTCTTTAATATAATTGGATTTTATTATGAATTTATTTTGGTAGTTAAAAAAACATATGTCTTAGTATGGCCCTAATGCTCCCCCTTACGCTTGCAGCTAAATACAAAAAAGGACAACTAAAGACATTATCAAAAAAGATATTATGGTTTTTATTGATCAGGAGTAAAAGAACAGATTGGCGTCATATATAATGTTGGCATTTGTCATAATTTAGTCTTTTTTGGTTGACCTCTTGTATGACTTGAACCCATGTATTTTTTGTAAATTAGTTTTTTTTTTGACTCCCTGTGACATGCTATGACCACTCCTCTGAAACAGTTTATTAACGCCTAAGTTAACTTAAAATGTCAAAACCTGCTGGTATAGCCACCAGATCTGCTTGGGCCCTACCCTTTCTTATGACATCATCATATGGCTACTCCACTCGCACAAACTGTATTGCACCCATTTCTTAACGGTCAAACACATTATTACCTATATTTGCTATTATTTTACATTTCACCAGCGATCTAAAGTAGCCGAAAGTAGAAAACAATCATTCTCCAAGGTGGCAAAAAAGTCTCAGCTTATTTTTATTCTTTTTATTAAGATCTGAGGGCAGAGGAGGACAAATGGGACACCTTAAGAAATGACTTTCATAGAGATTTTAGACAAATAAAACAGTTATTCTACTTGTAGAAAACGAAAGGTTGTTGTTGACATGAATTTAAAAGTAATGCAGCTTAATATGGCTAACTGACCGAGCTAAAAGAGGCTAACCTGTTAGCTACTGAGCACAGCTGGCCTTTATACCACGGTCTAACAGTTAATTAGTTCACCAGAAACAGTTTTTTTCTGTTTTGTCACCAATCAGATAAAACTTCATCGGTCATTAGACACGCTAATGCTACATGCTCTTGACTCGGCACACTGATGCTGTGGGATGTTATTATCGTTGTCTGGGCAACCACATACTTTAGCTTGCCATTAAACCTTATTCTTAGTTTAAATACATGTGTTCTATTTGTAAGTGCACATATTTACTTCACTTCACTTGTATCCACTCAAACATTTTCGCTTTATTATCCCGGTGCCAGCAGTTTGTACCATAATCCTGAAAAACACTAAAATCTACTTCCAGCCGCCACCAACATTAGGGGAAAACCCCCAAGAGGCGACCGGGTCTGAGGCAGCTGCTACTGGGGATTCCCAGTGACAGTGGTAATCTGGATGAACTGTCTGCAGAGACCATGTTTTCAGGAGGACTTTCTCACCTTAAAATAGATTCAAACTACTTTTTACCCACTGATCACAGCAAATCTAGCAAAGCCGCTCTCTGCCATTGAACACAGGAGCAGCAGAAGTATCAGACGCATCTGGACACACTTTACTGGACGTCTGACCTTAATGTGGACAAACATCAGAAATGAAGCAGCAGAAGCTTTTCTGATGCTGAAATTGCATTTGGTGTGAACGGAGAATAATGTTTATCTGGGGATCTGCGGCTGAATTACATTGTGTATTTGAGCAATTTCAAGCAAAAAATGTTTTTCAACAATTTTCATTTTTAGGCAAGATTTAATAAAATATTAAACGGCCTTAGAACTGAGTATTAAATGTAAAAAGTAAAATTTATTTCATCTTTTAGATGTTAAAATGTTGTAGTTTTAGTGGGAATGTGGATCATTCTGGCTGATTTGAAAAGGATCGTGTTTCTCGTTTCATCGTCATATGAAGTATGTGGCGCTGATCTTGCTCTCTGATCATGTGGTCTTGACTACCACATCATTGTCGAACCTGCCATAATTTTCATTTTATTCAAGCCACATCCATCACAGCATCCAATGAAGATGTTTGGAAAAGCACCAGGATAGAGTTTAAAGTCAAGCTTTCAGTTTCCAAGTTGTAGAACTGGTTAGTCTGGTATGAAGAAGAACAGGAAGAGGAAACTAAAGCTATGATGATGATCAAAGACATCTGAGAATGGATTGTAGAAAAATGTGCTGGAACGGAAATGATCAAAGAGTGTGAAGTAAACTAACCACCATCAGCTGTTGATTACATCAACAAAAGCACTATGAGCAGAGAGGCATATGACTCAGATGTAACTCTTTGAAGAAATAA